CGTCACATGCTCGCACTCCGTCGCCATGGCAACTACCCGCCAGGTCATCTCCTTGTCCAGGTCAGTCTGAGAGATGCATCTGAGATCATTGACTCAGCCTGAGTCAAACTGGCAAGAGATGATGATTAGGGTTTGTGTCTACTGGTTATAGCTCGTCTCGGTCCAGGCTCGTCCTTGTCTGGTCCTTGTCCACGCTCGTCCTTCTTATAGCTCGTCCTTCTTATAGCTCGTCCTTGTCCAGGTCAGTCTGAGTGATCCATCTGAGATCATTGACTCGGCCTGAGTCACGATAGCACAGACGGATGATGAGATCGTGACAGTGCAGAGTGATAGATACATGTTACCATCACTGGGCGTCAAGTAGGTGCTGGACGGCGTCGATGCTTGTAGCTGAACTCTCACTCAGCGGGGAGTCGATAGACCAGATTGACTTTTCGGGCAGTCCAGATGGAGTCTGAGCCGATGATGAGCTGGCTATAGCATGACACAGGCGCAGGTCATAGTCCATGACGGGTCTGAGATCGTCAGCTCGACTGGGAAGCGGTCAGCATAGTCGCTCACTGTCATAGAGTGTCTCTGCTCTATAACAACTGATCGACTGTGCAAGTGGCAGTACGTTCTGATGAGCATAGCCTGACAAGCTGTAAAGTACCAGCTCGAGTGGTTGGCTTGACTGCTGTCATCGATCTCAAGCCTTCTTCGTCAGTGATCATGTCGCATCAATGTGTGCTCTAGTCAAGTAGTCGCCTGGTCTGATGATGCCATGTATAGCTCGACACACTGACTCGATGACTGTGCAATAGAATGTCGGTGCAATCAGAGATGCCAGCTTGATGGCTGACAGATTGAGATGATCGCCGCTGTGAGCGGGTCATACAATGTCACAATCGTAGAAAGCATGCTGCAAGTCGCCGATGCATATGAGCTGGTAGAGGATCTGGCGTGTATCTGACATCGAGTGTGAATCAGACAGTGTCATTGCCGAGAGCCCAAGTCCAGGGTTGACAGCCATCAATGTGAGAGTATAGATGCATCTAGTGTCATCTTTGACACAGTCTAGCCGGAAGTCAGTCTGATCATGTGCAGTCAGCAGTGCAAGACAGCCAGCTCAGCAATGTCGAATTGGGACGACAACACATGTGGACAGCTATTGAGAGTACAATGACGACCGCCCAAATCTGGTAAGCGGTGCATAATGCATCGCGGGACATGAATGGTGCCGGCAATGCGAGTTGGTCAGAGTCATTGCCGAGATAGACAAGCCCAAGCTGGTAGGGCGCCGATAGACCAGGTTGCCATCTTCCGGACGATTCGAGCAGTCTGACGAGCCACTGGCACAGATGTTGTATGATGCAAGCACGACAGACATCCGCTGAGTGAGTTGAGATCATTAGCTGGGGTATGACAGATGTGGCTCATGTCTGTCGAGTGACCTTGCTCGACGATGACTCGATGTGACATGCATGTGCGATAAATGTGGTGCATATACTGGCAGGCGACGGCGTCTGTCATTCTGATCGCTGCTCTTGTCACTGGAGTAGATGAGATCGTCTTGCTGGCAGTTCTCCAGCCTGACGTGTTGCCTCGTAGCTAGTCGCCAGTAAGAGATGATTGCTCGCTAGTGTCTCACGCTCTCTGACTATCGGCGTTGTGATGCATAATCTGACCATGTCTTAGCGTATCAGTAATAAAAGTAGCTCGCGGTGTAGGAAGATGGGCGACGTGACTTGGCGTGACTTGGCAGCTCGTGGCAGTCGTGTCAATTGGACTTTGCAAGGTATGCGTTACTCGACGATACATGATCGGACTGGACGACTGAGCGAGAAGTTGCGAGGGGAAGGTATGGCGGAGAGCCGATCGATCTTGATGATTTATATCGACGATCAGAAAGGATAGCACAGCTCTGTCATTGGCGAGCAAAATATGCCAGGGGATTTCTCCAGTTTGCCTTGCCAAAATACGATATTGCGTAATTCATGTTAAAATTATTAATCACCCCAGTATCTGATTGGCGTGATTTATTTAGGCGCGTTGGCAGGACATTAGCTTGACCACAGCGACTTTAGCGAAGCCACTCGTACTGTTCAATTGGTCGCATTGCTGCAACTCAATGGTAAGACATCCAGTCGCCACCACTATAACGCCACGCAAGTTGCAGTTTGAGGCATCGCCGCAAGACTCCCTGCACCAATTACGATGGTTCAAAGGAACGGACAGTCAGCCTGCGCCCTAAAACAAGTGACATCCATGAGATTGCGTCTCAGAGCACACTGGAATATCTTCACTCGCAATACCAGCTCAGTCAAAATGCTCGATGCTGCCTGTGTGGCCGGCAGTACGGCTGAGGCAGGATCTTGCGACGGTTGCACAAAGCAATAGTCCCCACGATAGTGTCTAGCCGACGACTGATGCATTGATTGCTCGAGCGGACGTCGGCAGCAGTGGATCGTTTACTGCTGCTGAGTTGCGTATGAAATGTTGACATGATGGTCATCGCTGCATTGAATGCGCTCGTCCAAGTGATATGCTCCTTCAGATCATTGCAAGCAATAAGCCACCACTAGCTTTGAAGACTCAAAGACAGGCCTGGCACAGTGTCTGATATATCACACGGCGAGGTGTACGACTGACAGATGGCTTGCTGCTTGTGGTCACCTCTCATCATATCTTTACTGTGCACTTGACATTCTCTAGGGGATAGTCTTCAGATTTGACTGTTCGCCTCGACCATTGCTGTCACTTCCTGGGGCATTCCTTTCTCCTCGATGAAGGTGCTCAGTTGTTGCTGAAATGTTACATGACAAGTTCTAAATCCTTGGTGCCTTTCGGTTTCAAAGTACCATCGGGAGGATCGAAGAGATCAGAGACCTTGATTGCTTGTAGCGGAGATTCTTCAGGTTGAGCTACTCTTTGATGTGCGTGAAGAAAGGAACATGTATCAATGAGAATCTCATGCGCCAGGAAACAGATCGATGTTGTAGATTTTCTTAGCATGCATCCGCTTGACGATGATGACAGCGTGATCTGTCAGCTTGCAGTCTCCACTTTACTCGCGCGAAAGGTCTGATGGTGGCTGAGTCTGGATTGCCCGTTTCTGACCAATAAACGGTGATAGGGCGTGGCTGGGACATATCGAGCAGCGACTGCAAAGACGGAAGTTATCGCAGAGAAATCAAAAAGCATGCATTGATGCTCATCATGCACATCAAATGGCAGAGATGACACTGAAGGATCAAACATGATTGCCGATAAGTACGAGACAAGTAGCGCAAGGCCTGGACGGTATACGCCAGACTGTCGTGAGAATTGCCAAAGGCATACGGTGTCGGCATGATCATTATACCCGCCATCAGCTTGAAGCTGGCATCTGATACTGGCCGAGCTTGTGGTGAGACGTGAAGGCTATGATGCTAGACGATTCCATGATCTGCAGGTCTGCTGGCGCGTGATCAATCGGACAAGGCGCGCAGATCACCGAACTNNCCCGAGCAGAGATAATTANCACGTCTGTGCTTTTTCTCCCTTGCGCGCCANNCTCNNCCAGCACGACAATANNAGTCCGNCACTGTCTTGCGAGGATCCTTGATAGCACTCAGAGATCAGCATGCTCGAGGACGGGTANTCTATGCAGGGAGATGCAGCGAANGAAGAGTCTTGGTCGACAACATTTGGCTAGTCGTGGTTGCCCCACGCTATCATCTGGAGGCCTGCTCGCTCGTCAATGACGCTCTGACGACCAAGCAAGAAGATCGACATGCNCGTTCAGACCCTTTGCGAAAGCTGTGATGATCTGNAGNTAGCTCGAGGCCAGACTCGCANACTGGCTGATTCGACGGGGAGCTCCTTTTCTATGCGACTAGCTGCGAGAGAAGGACTGCCCGTGACCATTCTGGAAATCTTGGAGAAGCTCACGAGTATCAGTGGGAGGCGCCTTNACTCGTCGAGGCGAGAANCNTGGCCGACAAGAAGACAACAGCCGCTTCAGACGCTCTAATTGGGAACATCCCGGGACCGCGGCCTCTAGGCAGGTGTGGTGACCTGTCCNCGATGAGGAACAACCGNGTGAGGCGCCTCAAGCGGACGAGCGNAAGCCGACGAGATTTGACCTGCTGTGCTCGCGGCTGTCAAGTTGAGGCGCGCTCGGTCGTTCAGACGAGAAGCTGGTCAGCAAGAAGACAACAACCGCCTCTGGATCTTGCTTTGCCTATGAACACTGGAGCCCGGAGGTAGCTTTGCAACCTATCAGCGATGGATAACTTCAGACGAGGTATTTGCAGCGAGCCAAGAGTATCCGCCTGCGACAAGTGCTCTGCCGGATGCGGCCAGCCTTTCCTTTGAGGGCTTGCTCGCTCGCCGGATCCAGCTCGTGGCTCGACAGCAACACAGCCGCTTTACCGGCAGCACTGACAAAAGCAACACCTTCTTTCCTCAGCGCTTACGTCTGCAATGCATATACATTGTCTCGCTGCTTGGCGAGTCTTCCCTCTCGTGAGGCAAACCAGATCATGCTCCCACGGTGAGCCTCTCGCTGCCCCAGCGATCGCCAGCTGATGTTGCAACAGCACTCCTGTCAAATTACATNTTGAGCAGTCGTGGAAGACGTGCTGGCCGTCTTTGGACTGGACGCTGTCGACTACTCATCGCTCAAAGTGCGCCGAAGAGCTATGCGAATATCAAAGAGCATCTTTCAGTCGGTTGCTGCCTCAGTCAAGGTAGCGAGCTCAGAAAGTGCTCGAATATCCCGTTCTCTATCTTGGTCTTACATCCCTTCGTATACACATTGGTGGTCTGACATTGAGCTTCGCGGATGTGGCCTATCATGGCCCGAGCAATTTCAAGCAGACTGAAGAGATGAATCAGCTGCCAACTTGAATATAAATAGCCTGCCGTTATCGCGAGCGCTGCGTGGTTGCAACAGCAGCGGACCTAGCTCGACAAGGATGGAGATAAAGACGTCCATCGTAATCAACTCGTCCCCCGGGAGGGTGCGCTCGATCTTCCTCGACTTTGCCAAGTATCCAGAGTGGGCAAGCTTTCTGACTTCCGTCGAGCCAGTCGGTGCTCTCGAGCCAGGTCAATGCATTCAGGCGAGCATTCATCCTCCAGACGGCTCTCCGATGGCTATCAAGCCATATATCAAGCTCAATGACAACCAGATCTTCAGTTGGGTAGGGTCAATCCCGCTCCTATTCACCGGTGAACATTCTTTCGAATTTCAAGACCACGATGGAGCCACCCTTCTCGTTCAAAGCGAGACCTTCACTGGCTTGCTAGTGACGCCGTTGATGAGCTGGTACGGTCATGGTAGCAAGACGGAAGCAGGTTTCGTGGCATTCAATGAATCGCTCAAGAAGCGCGTGGAGAGCGAGCAGTAGTCGGCCTTGTCTGTCCCCACGCAAGCGCCGCCTCGGCAAGAAGCCCTCGAGGCTCACTTGCATACTACAGACACAACAGCTGTATGAGCACGTGCGGCCAGCGCTAGAGTTGTAACTTTTTCCAAAGTGATCGGAGCTTCATGCAGCCATCGTGTTGAGGCGACGCAAGACGAGAGAAACATCGAGACGAGTGTTGGCCTGGGAGGGAGCACTGCGACGTTGGATCGCTTTCCTGATGAGCTGTATCCTCTCTGCTCTCCACTCAACATCCGGATCCGGACCATGGCCCGTCTCGTGCGAATTCCGTTCATCGGTGGGTGACGAGGCAGTGATGCAGATGTCGGGCGGATTTTCGCGGTCGAATGAGCACGCTGGAGAGACATGCTGAAGATGGCGCGAGTGAGCCCAGCAGGCGATTTGATCCAGAGTGGGCGGTGAGCGCAGCGTGGTTTCGATATCGATGGGCTCACTCTGTGTGCGTTTATGCGAGCTTGCAACAGGTGCGCATGTCCACAGGGGTAAGCCTGCGATGCGACGTCAGGAAAGGCTGTCGCATGCTTGCTCAGTCTCACCTGAGATGCGCGCGGCCGATCGAAGTCCAGCTTCGCGACGCAACTCGTCGGGACGTCCTGCTGAGAGGCCGAGCCGGGCAGCATGTTCTGACCGATGACGGCCAAAGTCGGATGGCATGGACATGGTCTTTTGACGACGCTGATCGTACGTTCGGAGCACAAAAGGTCGCTTGTCCTCGTGCGCGCCAAAACCGATCGCAGCCTGGCCCGGTCCGTAGGGCTGACGAGTCGCGATGCATCTTTGCCTGCTATCGACGAAGAACGCAAGATGATCTGGTGATGTAGGGGCTGACTTTGAGAAAGCAGGCGATGAGGCAGCCGTCGAGATATCGGTCATGGTCAGGGTCTCACTGTCCGCATCCTCTTCTTCGTCGCTCTCCTCTACGTACGAGACGAGACGATCCTGATAGCTCGTCTCGCTGTCGAGACGGCTCCAATCACACTTGAGGGCTCTCGGCTCCATTGGCGTTTGGGAAGGAGAAGCCCCAGGGAGTTCACAATTCCGAGGTGTCTTTGCGTTGTCAGGCAGTGACAAACGTGCGAGGTTGCTTGGCGACTCGATGTATCTTCCGACGGGGACGGCGTGTTTCAATGATACTCACTTGCTGCCACGATACATACAGCGCTCTGTCTCTTGCAAGCTCGAGAGAGCGGAGACTACACCGTCAGGGTCTGGCTCCTAGATTCGGTTGCGTGTGCACAGACATATGAGCAGCCTCCTGATCCGTGCACGCTCGACCTCGTCGACATCCTGATCTAGACATGGAACAGCGATTGAGTCGTACATGATCGGTTGAGAGGACAGGCACTGGATAGGATTCCGGATCGGTGCAACTGTCGCGCTTGCTGAGCGCCGAGTGCGCGAGTGACGCGATATCGGTAGCCTTGCTTGCTTGGCGTGACCGATGTGAGCATGGACTTGACCGACGGCTTGTACGATGCTAGGTCGACAGCAGACAGTACGCCGACACCGGATAGGCAGCAAGATCAGCAGGCGAGCACAGGCGTCGTCAATCTCGACGAGGAGCTCAAGAATCTCGCCGTCGGCCTGGGTAGCGTCGGACAGAGCTTGGGCAGCTTTTGGGGTTCCTTCAAGAAACAGGCTTGTGCACTCCATCCTCACCCGTTTCTACTAGGCTGACACAGGCGGCAGGGTGCGGCGGCGTACGAGGCAACTCAGCGAGAGCTCAATCAGCGGACCGAGGCCGCGCGCAAAGATCTGACGCCGCTCATCAGCAAGGCCCGAGAAGAGCTCGGCAAGATTGGCGAGCAGGCTTTGGCAACTGCTTCCGCTGGACAGGCTTCATCCAATGAAGACAAGGACGATGACACGCGTACACAAACAGACGATGGCTCGCCGGGCGAGCAGCTCGCGACACCGGTGTCCAAGGGCAAGGAGCGAGAGCTAGACGCCGTCGGGCCTGTACCAGCTATCGCGCAGGAGGACGCAAGCTTCACCTATTCCACTCTTGATGGCGTCATCATCTCGACACGGCCAGAAGCGAACGCGACCGCGCCCGAACTCGACCTCGCGCCTGCAATTGCGAGCACTCAAAAGTTCTTCGCCAGTATCCAAGCTCAGATCCAGGCCAACTCCAACGTAGCAGCCATCTCAAAAGCTGTGCCCAATCTGACGCAGCTACAAGCCCAACTCGAAAAGCTGCCCTTGCAAGTTCAGGAACAGCTCCATAAGCTCCCGATCGAGAACTCCACCAAGATTGCCGAGGGCTACTTGCAAAAAGGTGAAGCTTACTTCACAAAGGCAGGCAAGGAGATCGGCGATTTGCTCAAAGACGCCGTCAAGGTTGTCCCGCCGTCCGAAGCAGATCAGCGCGCTGCTCGCGAAGCCGCCTGGCAATCAAAGGGCGGTATGGTCGCGGCGCGTACAGACTCCTTGCTTCATCGACTGCGCAGCGATCCCAACGTGTTTCTCGTCGACCCAGCACAGCCCGCTGTTTCCATACAGGTCACTGATACGGCCGGCCAGCATGCGGCGCCTGCTGCTGATTCTGCGGCCCGTCAGCGAGAAGCTACTAGCTCAGAGAGCCGGATGCTCTATGCCAGGTTCTTACAAGAGCTAGAAGACAAGGGCGGCTTCGAGAGTTCCTTCTGGAAGGATCAGATCGCCGCAGAGCTTGCGCGGCCGAGAGGCGAGGGTGCGCTGCTGCAAGGCTCCTTCGAGGCAGTCGTTCCGTCCAGGATCACCGCAGAGGCATTCTGGGCGCGCTACTTCTTTCGAGTTCGTCAGATCGAGGTTGATGAGGCCAAGCGCAAGCAAGTGCTTGCAGGTGCGTCTCGTTCATTATGACAAACGAATGCTTTGCTGACGGAAAAGCAGACGCCAAATCGCAAGAGGAGGAAGACTTTAGCTGGGACAACGACGAAGACGAAGATGCCGAAGCTGCGGCACCGGCAACTACTGCGAAGCCTGCTGTTCCTGCGCATCAAGATAGCAATGTATCAGCAGGCCAAGCAAGCTCGGCCTCGGACGACGAAAGCTGGGGCGCCGAGTCGCCTTCTCAAGAGCGAGCGCCAGACGTACTACCGCTGAAACCTAGTGCGATACGAGCCATCGCGTCGCGGGAGTCAAGCGAAGAAGGCAGCAGCACTTACGACATTGTATCGAGGACGAGCGGTCAGGTCTCTGCCAATGAGGACACAAGAGCCGTACCTGCAAAGACGGAGGACGACGAAGACTCGGACTGGGAGTAAGTTGTACATGTGATTGCTACTCATTGTACGCATCTATTGCCTCGTCTTTGAAAGTCTAGAGGGCAGACCATGCATTGATGCCAACAAAAATCGAGACACCGACCCAGACAACGCGGGAGAGATCTCTCAGCGTGCCATTCAGCAGCGTGCTATTCGAAACCTCGACCCAGAGGGCGCGAAGAGAGGGAGACCATATGCGACGGTAAACATACCGCAGGGCGCGTGAGATAGGTCGAATAGCCCAGCGATTCAATATACCGAGCTGCACGAGCCTCTGAAGAACGTTTCCGTCCCTGTCCTCCCATAAATATGCCCGGCGGTTGTATCTACTGAGCCTTGTAGCCTGCTTCGTTCTGTCAGCATCTGCATGCGACGCCGCCGCGCGCTGCAGCGAGGCGATCGACATGCCCTCCTCGGCCTCGCCAGGAGAATAAGCATAGTCCGACTGCGTGAAGGATGATCCGTTGTACGCAAAAGAGACTTCGTCCGTCTCCGAAAGCTCGTCCGAGTCTTCTTCTGCAGGCCTAACGCGATTGCCGAACATGCTCCTCGAGAGCACGCGGGTATGAGAACGGTTCTGAAGGGGCACACCATTAGACCTCGCATGCGAGCTCCGCCGTCGGGCGAGAACCGCATGAAGGCGTGGCAAAAAGACTGCAAGCACTGTGAAGGCGAGCAGAGGGGTGTACACATGCAGATAGATACCGAGCTGATCGGGCAATTCGCAGGCTCTATCAGCTGCCGTCTTGCCGAACGACGAGCGGCCAGAGTTGTGTAGGGAGAGCAGTGAGTACCCAGGCCGGTGTATGCCCATGGCCATCGAAAACGCCTTGACGGAGACCTCGGGTAAAGTGCGAGGCTGACCCGTCGCAACGCTGGCCAGGTTGTGCTCGATCCGGCAGGCGTCATGGTCATCGCCACTGAAGACGTAAACAGGCTGCAGTGTATCGAGCAAGAAGCGACTTGTCCCTTCGTCCAGCTCGTTTTGATAATTCCGACCTCGACCTTGGTAGATTGGTTGGGCGTGTTCTCTCGAGGTGCCACAGGGAGTACCGTCGGGCCGCCAAAGCGGGATATGGGAGAACAAGATGGTTGGGAGACTTTCGATAGTTGCAGAATGCTGTTTGACAAAGTATCGGGCTGTGCCTGGCATGGGCTCACCGGTGCCAGTCGGGGATTCGTCCAAGAGTGCCATGGCGTCGATCCAGATCAAAGTATGATTCCCAAATTGTGTGGCGCCCTCCAATTCACCAAAAGAATCCCTAAACCTCTCACGAGCATAAGCTGAGCCTCCAGCCGAAGCATGAAGACCGAGGTCGTGATTGCCAGGCATATAAACTGCAGGTAGATTGCGTGTAGGAAACAGACTGGTTGCGGTCGAGTAAGACGAGCCACTCAGGCTGAGGGAACCGAAACGCACTCATGAAACCGGTGTACATAATGTGAATGCCTATCAGTCTGCATCAGCTACTGGCAGACTGAGGCACGGGGACGACGTGCTCTCCACGATCAGTGACCTCGACGCCCGAATCCAGCAGATCGCCGAGAAAGAATATGCCGTGAGGACGCTGTCTGTTGAGGACTGCTTGCCAAGCTTTGCGAGCATAGTTATCGGTCGCCAGTCTGCTTGCCCACTTGCCCAGCCATGGCCGCCCAGGATATGATCGCAAGTCGAGTATCTGTGGATCAGCGACGATCAGCAAGTGGAACGGAGGTGACACATCGTCTTCCGTGCCGACAGCCCCTCCTAACTCGTCATCTGGCCAACTGCAGGCAGCAGCGTCGAGCCTGAATGCAAGATATTCGCCGCCAACGAGCACAACGAGCCAGAGAGCTCGCAGTCCGTAGATGAGCCGGTCCGTGTAGCGCTGATGATCGCCAACGGGCTGTTTATTGCGTCTCTGACTGAGCCGGTCATCCGACGCTCGCATTGTCGTCCTCAGACCGTCATCTCGAGCGCCCCTTGAGCCTGAGCCTGCAATTTCGACTGATTTCGCGGATTTCGCGTCGCGCGCGTTCGAGATTCCAGCGCACGCGACCTTCGAACAAAACGCTAGCGCCACTCCTACCCTGGCCTCACCACGCTACGATGGACGTCTTGCCGTCTTCGCATTCTTCGAGCTCGGTCTTGGAGCTGGACGACAGCTTCGGTGGTCATAGCGTGCCTATGGCGGACGCGTGCTCATCCGTCATTGCATCGACCTCATTGTCGTCAACGGGGCCCTTAGGACGCGCAGAGCTCAATCCTGCCGGTCTCGAGCTGGACGATGATCTACACGATATCTTCGGTGCAGATCAATCTTTCGTTTCGAAGGCGTCCGATCAGCCGTGCAAAAAAACCGCGATACAGTGCACCACTCCGGCGCTCCGCCCATGCCCACCGAGCGAGAGCTTTCGACGAGAGATCAGGGGAACCTCCTTCACCGGCAAAGCAGTCACATTTGGCAGAAGGTTGCGCAAGCGGTCCACTCAAAGTCGTCGTGCACTAGACGAGGTAAGCGCCATGCGCGTTGTGGAGGATCGCTCCGCTCAGAGATCCGCAACAGGCCGCAACGTCTGCGCAAGCCTCGGATGAGCTGGGCGAACTTGCTTCCTCCTTTCTGGAAATGCCTATACATCAGCTCATGGCGGATGTGCGAGATCAACTCAAGCAGGAAAGGGCATCCAAGGCCCAGGCAGCTCAAGATCCTCAGCGTATCATCTCGGGGCCGCTCGAGACAGACCAAGATCGGATCAGAAATTCGAGACTGTGGACGGACGTCTACCGACCGAAACGCTTCACGGACTTGATGGGAGATGAAAGGACACATCGAAATGCAATGACATGGCTGAAAGAGTGGGACAATTGTGTCTTCAAGACCGGCAACAAGAAGCCTAAGCGAGGCGACACGGCTTCTCGAGGTCCAGGTCATGACAAAGAAAATGCCGTAGGTCCAGGTCACCGAGGTCATGAGTCAGCTAAAGTAGCGCAGCCGATCGATCCATATGGACGCCCTCAAGAGAAGATTTTGCTCTTATCCGGCCCGCCAGGTCTAGGCAAGACCACCCTGGCGCATGTGCTTGCTACTCAAGCTGGCTATCGAGTGCACGAGATCAACGCGAGCGATGATCGAACGGGTCGTATCGTCACCGATCGCATACGCGATGCGATTGAGTGTCGTGCAATTTCAGTACAGGGCGGTCTGTCTAGCGATCGTCCGACTTGTGTCATCATCGACGAGATCGACGGCGCTGGCGGAAGCGGCGAGAATGCGAGTAGCCACGTTTTTAATCGTGGCGCAACTAATTTGCTTCGCAGGCTTTTGTCAAACAGTTGGTAAAGTTTGTTCAAGACGGTTCGATGGTCAAGCACAATAAAGGTGATCTATAATATTGATAACGTTGTCTTGCTGACGTTAGCATACAGGCAAAGGTAAGAAGACAGGTCGACCCCTGCTGCGGCCGATCATCTGTATCTGCAATGACCTTTACGCGAATGTGCTGCGACCGCTGCGACCTTTTGCTCGCATTATCCGTTTTGGGGTTGCCACGGCGCCCACACTGCTACGACGTCTTCGCACAGTATGCGACCAAGAAGGTCTCGTTGCAGACGCCAAGCATCTCACAAAGCTTGTCGAGGTTGCCGGTGGCGACATGCGGAACTGTCTGAATACTTTGCAATTCATAAAGTCGAAAGGCACTCGTCTGGACGAACAGGCAATCCGATCGAGTTCTATCGGACTCAAAGATACTGGCACGTCACCCGGAGCAGTCTGGGATCATCTGTTCCGTATTCCCACCGATCGCAAGGGCGCACCCCGTGCGGGCAGGGATGGATCGATATTTGAATGGCTTCTGCGCGATGTTTCGACTTGTGGAGAATACGACAAAATCGCTCAGGGTAGGTTGATCAAGGTCGCATATGCGCATGCTGAAGCGTTACAGGTTGCTTCGAATGGTATCCTGAAGCAAAGCTGACAACGGATGTCTGGTTGTCAATCCTTCGAGCGCATCAGTGGCTCGGACTTTATGATCTATTAGACACAAAGATAAAGACACACCAAGACTACGAACTGCTGGCTTATGTCCCGTATACCCTCATTGCGTGGAATCCGCTCTTTGCGAGTATCACCAATCGGCCCATCGAGCGAGCAAAGGCAGACTACGAAGCCTTTGTCAGGCAGTCTGCGCATCGCGAAGTTCTTGACTCATTCTGCAAACCGCTAAAGCCAACGATCAAGTCGACCTTCTTGGGCAATAGCGTCGTGGTTGAGCTTGCAGCCTATCTCACCAGAATCATCTCGCCAGACTTGAAACCGATCAATAGTCAGATCGTCAAAGCAGATGAGAAACAAGCCCTCAAGAAGCTGGTAGCCATCATGCTCGACCTTGGTCTGTCGTATCTACCGGAGCGGACGGAAGACGGACAGCTGTCATACAAGCTCGATCCTGCAGTGGACGTATGGGTGCATTGGGAAGGCAAGCGCGCGCCTGACATTCCCGCCGCTCGCTACTCAACTCGACACGCCATTGCATGCCAAATTGATGCTGAGCGGATAACGCGAGCACAAGGTACCGGCGATGGATCTCAGGCGACAAGCACGGCAAGCACACTCATGAGTGCGTACGGTGCAATGTCAACGTCAACGACGGCAGGTGCGATCAAATCAGACTCTACCATGGACTTTTTTGGCCGATCGCTGCCATCTCTAGCTCTCAATCACAAACAGAGCGAAGTTGAGGATGACAGCTCGGAGCCGGCCTCAAAACGCCTCAAAGTCGTCTACAAATTCCACGAAGGCTTCTCTAATGCAGTCAGGGTGCCCATAACGATCTCAAATCTGTTCAAGCGTGCCAACTGACGAGAGCGCATCTACGTTCGCTTTGCAGCGTGCCACGCCTCGTTGAGAGTGGCAAAGACGCCATCGGCCAGCATGCGTTGCTCCAGTGTGCAAGACGCGCTCAACTGCAGATAGTGTCAGTCAAATAGTGGTGGGTAAGGGAATACTCGCCTTGTCTGGATGCACCTTGGCGATCGCCTTCATGTAGCGTATTTTCAATTGGGTTTCTGTCAATACTTCATGCATGCCAATGGCTTTCCATTCGAGCTCCGCCCATAATATCAACTGGAGGCTTGTGAGCAGCGCTCGAAGGTTACTCTCTTTGCCAGCGCGCCAGACAGTGAGTCGTTGATCAACCGAATCTTTGAGTTCCAATCGCTGCCCCGCTTCCGCCTCTTGCGCTGCGTTAGCGATCCTGAGGGCACGCACAGCCGACCCCAGCGTCTCGGGAGTGGTCGATGATGTAGGCTGCATGGCCAATCGCGATCTCAGCGCAATTGGTTGGGCGGATCTCCGTTCGCCTGCGGTACGACATCGTGCCAGGCCGTCATAGACTGTCCTGAGACCACCCGCGCTGCGAATTGCCACTTCTCCAGCACTTTTGAGCTGTAACCAGTCGTACTGCGCCATGGGCCAATGCTCGCATGCTTCTAGTGCCTTTGCGCGCCGTGATAGAGCTTTACCCAGCTGATCGCATAGATTGATGCTCGCGCACTCTTCGGGCAGGGTATCTTGTCTCAGTATAGCGTGGTCTAATTTGTAATTAGGTTTTAGCTCCTCGACGTCCAAGAGCAAGGCCAACGCAGAAGTAGCGTCTTGTAGTGCTTGGCGATCGTTGCCGATGCGCATATTGGCATTTGCCATATTGTTGTGCAAGGGGATTTGGAGCAGGTGCTTGCGCGGTAAAGCATCGATTGCAACGGCATAGGAGTCGATAGCTCCAGCATAATCGCCGAGTTTAAAGAGCTTGTTACCTATTATTCTGTGCCTGTCGGAGGTCTGCAGATCGAGCGGGCTAGCAGTCGTCTCGCCTCGCCGATGCTTTGGTTTAAGTGGTTGCACCGGCTTCGATTGTGCATGCGCAGGTGCCGATCCGATAGTCGTGGTACCGTCGGTCGAATCAGAAGAGGTGGGCCGCTTTTCGGTGGCACTTATGAGTCCTACCACGCTGTCGGAGAAGGCGACAGGAGGTATGTCAGTATTGCTGCCCGCAGCATCGAGCTCGCGCGTCAGCCATCTGGGACGAGCGTCTGTAGGGCGTCCATTGAGAGCACGCCCTTCTCCCTTGCTTGCAATGCTGGCCGCGGTGCGCTCGTCTATCGCCTTTTGAAGCTGCTGCTTGCTACTCTTCCAAAACTTGTTCGCCGTCGTCAGGACATTATATCCGACCATTGATGCCTGGTCCAGCAGTTCGTTTGCTTTACCTTCCCAGGGCTGGACAGCGCCGGGTACTGCAACCCCTCTAGCCACCCTGCTAGGATGTGAGGATGCTAGTTTTGCTGACTGAGTTTGATCCGCTTCGCTATCTTCGTATTTGAAGCGTTGCCGCCGGCTTGGAGGATCCATGCCATCGTCTGACGGGCTCTCCTCATCGTCAGCACGGCTGAGAGACCCCGTCAGTGGTCGGCCGCGGGCTCCTTGTGGCGATTGATCAGCTCCGAGTACCATGTCCATTAAGCTCTCGACAGCCGCTTGTAGATCCCATTGGCCTGATGCGGCGCGCGTCTTGAGCAGCGCGGCGCTGGATAGATCAGGCGCAAAGCCCATCATGACGAGCTCGCCGAGAATGTGAGGCGGTATGTCAGTGCTTGCTTTTGGAGGCTCGTGTGCTTCAGATGTGCCGGGTGAAGGAGCGGAGAGAGCACCAACGGGCGCAGCCAAAGCACCCAAAATCTCGTCATCGGCATCCTGATCAAAGGCGGCTTGTAGATCTAAGCTTGATTGCGTCGCTACGGACGAGGGAGGAACGAAGGCATTCTCGAGCGAATCATCGAGGAGGTCGCGTTGTTTGCCATATTGGACCTCACTTCGCGTCACTTTGGTTCTCTGCGCTGGCGCGACGAGTGCATCAAAATTCCATAGGTCATCTGGCATAGCTTGATTCGATGCTGCTGCCACATACGGAGTGATGAGAACAGGCGTCGACGGGCGCAGCGAGGGCGTGAGAGGACGCGCGCTGGGGGCAACGTCAGCACAGTATCGCTTATCGGTAGACGACAAACGCAATCTGAGTAGGTCGGACTGATGAGTGACTGGTCAACACGGCTTGGGGCGGGTCAAAGAGCGAGCTGAAGGCATCCACCTCACCAGATGCACCACCAACATGCGGGTCTTGTCCTCGAGACGTTCTGGCAGGGAGATGGACGTCATCTACAGAGGAAGGCCTGCTGATAGTAGCGCGCGTCGCGGGGACCGAGGAGCGCACAGTGAGTTGTTGATTGCTCCTGTGACCGTATTGAGACATCTGCGCGGGATTGGTTGCTCTATAAGACTTTGTGCTGGACAGACTTGAGCCTGGGTTGGCTTGCAGGTTGGACGGCTTGCTGGTCTGCGCGGTTTGGCCCGCAACACGTTGCGGCGTAGCTGCGGCAGGCCAGCTCAGATCTAGCAGATCGTCCATGATGCCCGTGACACGGAAAGACGATGTGCATCAGTGAAGACTTGACGAGCTTGAGGCCAGTCGAGCACGTCGAATGGGCGCCTGGCGTTGGTCTATCTGGCAATTCGACCGAACGCGCGTTCGTGTCGATGACATGATCCTCTCGGCTCTCCCTGCGGCATCTATCGGCAGTCGCACAGCCAGAGCTTGGGATGAACAGTAGCGTTGAGCTGAAGCGACAATATGCATCCCTCGGCAGGCCGAACGCAGGCTCCCAGGCCTTCGCGACAGGACTTATCTCGGGAGGTAATCATCGTATCATCGTCAGTAGCTCAGTAGCCTACAATAGAGCTCCTAGCTCAGATATGTCTGGACAGGCCATCGCCTCAGGACGGACTGTCGACATCTGCAATGAGCGCATGCAGCTCCAGTATAGTCTGCATCTGGATGACGCCTGTTACGGATCGACGAGCTCGAGCGCATCTCGAGAAATAGCGGCTCTTGCCTTTGCCAACTCGGGCCAGGCAAGTGGATCACGCTTTGATATGCCATGACCTCACACTTGCGTACATACAGCTCGCCATTGCGGCAGGCACCCAGATTGTGATCTGGTCAGCTCCGAATGAGCTCAACAGCGGTCGCTCGCCTCGCTTGAAGCTACATTCCAGCCTGTCCCTGCGCAGCGATGTACTCTCTCTCGATTGGCGGGACGTGTCTCTCTTAGTGCTGTCTGACAAGCTATCCATATGGCAGCCAACCTCTGTCTCTGGCATAACCGCCTGGCAAAAGACGCGCGAATTCGCGCCCCGCGCTTGTGTCGAGCACGATCTCTCTGCTGCGCGCATCTCTCCTTGCGGTATTTATGTGGCAGCAGCATGCTCTCACCTGCCTCTCGTCCGCATCTTCAACATCGCGAGTTTTGGACCTGCCACGGAATCGAAGCAGGCTCCCGTCGATCTGTGGCATGCCCTGCCAATCCGCCAGATACGATGGGCCGCGTCCGGCATAAGCAGCGTGCTATGGACAGTCGATAGTCATGGAGGGACGCAGAGATTCACTTCGAGAGGGGGAGGATGGCAGAGCGACGGTCTTGTGCTCGTCGAGCGACCCCCTGATAAGACCCGACAAAAGGTTGTTTGGGCCGGTCTGACGGACGACGCAGATCCGGCATTGCTAACGTTGCTGGACGATTGCAACATGGGCGTGACGGTGCGAGATGACGACTGGCGCAGTTCTACCTCTTGGCAGCGACCCTTCGGTATCGATATCAAGCTGCATGACATGAGCACTCATACAGTAGCCTTCGAGACGCAAAGTAGCCCGTACTGTCCAGGAGCACCCAGCTTCACACTCATCAGTTCAGATAGACACGGTCGCATCACATTTATTGACGCAGCATCACCGTCTTTTGAGAGACCCATGAGACTCCGAGAGCTACAATTTGCTCCTCGCGGCCTAGTCGAAAGGATGACTGCTGCTGCTGACGGGCTTTCTATCGCTTGCACAACCTCGCTGGCACAAATATTGCACTTTCGTGTCAACATGCTGCACGGCTCGCCAACCTCCTTGGCTACTATAGCTCGGACCCATCAAGGCCAATGCTCGCTTGTCAAGGAGTTCCATGCTCTATCAGGACGAAGGGGTGTGCTAGCCGCGCAAGCAGATGCTTTGCAGCTTTATATGCCCAGCGAAAATACGCTGAGACTTTGCGCGAGCGTCAGGCTAGCGTCGACCTCAGATATGATCTTTCTGGCCTCTGTGGTCGAAGGACAGCATATCAAAGGCGTGGTATTGCTCTTGTCGGGCATTCAGCAGACCTTCGAATTCAACATGTCAGCTGGCACTGCGACGATACGGACTATCGGGACTGTACACCCTCGGGGCTGGCTGCCTTTAGAGATCGCCGAACCGCTTGTCTCTCAGGCTCGCGCCGCGCCAGAGATCGTTTTCGGCGCGGTCGAAGAAGACGGTAGCTGCTCACTCGCTTGTTCGGCGAGAATGTCCTCGATTGTACCTGATTCTCTGCCTTGTTCTACGCTGATCAGCCGCTTCAGCGCCAGTCTAGTAGCGTACAGCTCGTCGGCCAAGAATGACACTATTGTAAGAATACAGCGCGCGCATGGAAGTTCGCGGACGTGTGTACATCGTCTGCTGCTGTCAGCAGAAGATCTCACTGCTCTCTATTGGCTGCGAAGTCTTCAAGATCATCCCATCCTCGTACTACATACCTCTAGCGGTCTGAAACTCTATGCCGAACCTCGCAATTCACAGCACGACAGTACTGGCTGGACGCAAGTTGCTCATTTTCGCGCTTTCAACCAAGATTGCACGACTCTGCCGGTCCAGGGAGGCGTTGTGGCACTCGAGCGAGGTCGCCTGAGCATATACTGTGGTGATGCGCGTCTAGAGGGGCTTGTGCGAGCTTGCTACGCGCCCCGACGTCTCGACGACCCGATCTACTTGTCTTGGTCGATCAGAGCAGGCAAATTGGCGCCAATCCTCGGTCTTGTCGATCACGAGCAGAGCTACGCTGACAACCTGTTTGACCACGTCGATGAATTTCTGCAAGGGGAGGCATATCAGTACACAGAAGCCGAATGCAAATTACCGCCTTTTGACACTGCCAGAATATCGACTCGATTCGGGTCGTTTGCGAACTTGGTGCAAGTGCTGAGCGCACAGCACCAATCTCTTGACAGGTCTGGCGAGATGGCGCTAATTTCAATCCAGGAGGCTTTGCATGCGGGGACGTCAGTCAATTATGTCACGATACTATGGGCCCAGTCATCTCGACGTCAAGCCGTGCTGTTAACGCACATCTTGCAGGCCTGTGCAGGCAAGCTCACATGGTCTTTAGCACGCCGTTTGGGTCTTTTCATGTGGTTACAGGATCCAAAGGACTACGCGACCCAGCTTGAGAGTATTGCTCGTACCGAATTCGTCAATCTCGACGAAAGGGATCCGATCAGCGCCAGTCTGTTCTATCTCGCGACCCACAATTTCAAAGCCGTACAAACAGTGTGGAAGACATCTGGCGCCCATACGGAGCGCAGTACAATGATGAGATTACTCGCTAACGATTTCAAGCAACCGCGTTGGCAGATTGCCGCCAAGAAAAATGCGTACGCTTTGCTGGGCAAAAAGCGATACTTATTTGCTGCCGCATTCTTCTTGCTTGGTGACAGCTTGCAAGACGCTGTCAACGTTTGTGCCCGTCAACTGAACGACACGCAGCTCGCATTCGCCATCTGCCGTGCATATGAAGGGCAAACATCGCACGTTCAGCTCGGGCTCGCTAAAAGTCACCTTCTGCCCGGAGCGATCAGCATGAGAGACCCTGCAATGGCTGCATATGCTCATACATGCTTTGGCGAGACGAATGGTATTCAGAAAGCACTGGAGGTCGGTTGGCCCTCCATGCATTTGGCTCAAGCTTATCGCTCGCTTAGATGGAGATTTGGCAAGATTGTTCACTTGATCCACAGCTGACATGGCTGTATCTAAGATACCGCCGTCTGGCAGGAATGCCTTCGGTGCCGATCGAATATCAGGTTAGCTGAGCGCTTATTTTCATTTTGAGCTCTTCCTGAGGTCACGGCCGCTCTCATAGCTTGTGCAACGTTCGATAGCCACTTTCGTCGCAATGGGTATGCAGCATATCTGTCAATATCCTCGTGGCTTATCCGACTGACAGGGTGTCATCTACTGGCGCTCGACATGGCAGTGCACTGGCCATTCGTCAGAAAATCAACAATGGCACCTCGATCAGTCGATCAAAGGCCTGCAATCAAGTCGCCGCATTCCGATACGGAGCTGCCAGCCGCTCTTGCTGCGCAGTCGAAGCCTGCAGTCCAAGCGCCGCGCAAGGTTGTGCAAGCTGTGCCGGACTTTGACATTGGGGCATTCGCTTTTTAACATGCCGGATAAGAGCGCAGTGCATGCTTAGACATCAAAAATGAGCGCAAAGTTCTCTTCGATGCCACTCTTGCCCGTACGTCCACCGACGGACGCGTTTGCAATGGCAGTCTTGCGATCTTGCAACGCGAGCATCTTCTCCTCGATCGAGTTGCGTACAATTAGTCGGTAGATGTGCGTCTCTCGGATTTGACCGATGCGATGTACGCGATCAAATGCCTGACTTTCCGCGGCAAAGTTCTGCACGCGGCGAGTCAGAAGTCGCAAAGCATACAAGTCAGTGGCGCTTGCCCACCAGATATCGCACGCGAATGCCATATTGGCTTTGGTCAGATTCAGACCTGTGCCGCCAGCTTTGAGTGAGATGAGAAAGATGCAGGTGCCTTTGCTTTCATTGAACTCGGCCAGGACGCTCTGCCGTTGCTTTTGCGTGAGGGAACCATCTAGACGGACGTGCCTGAACTTTTCACGTGCGATAGCTGTCTGCAACAAGTTTAGGAACGTCGTGAATTGAGAGAACACGACGGCATGGACAGGTCCGCCTCCATCACGCGCAGCGTTGAGATGTCTGAGTAGAGCCTTGATCTTCGTCGAATTCGCAAAATTGTTTCGCTGGTAGAAGTCATTAGACTCCTGCAAAGACGAATGTGCGTCAGTAGGAAAGAAGACCTGTATGACGGCAGCACGTGCCTCCCGTGGGAGCGAATCAGGGTCAGGCAGATCGTCCTCTGTGATCGGTCCTCGATCGCAGACCGGACAGTTGCCCTAGGAGCGGATTCAGGATCGTTCCTGTCATTACAACGTGCTGACCTCTTTGCCGTCCGCTTGGGCCTCTTGCAGGAAGGTCATTACGCAGTCGTAGCAAATCTTGTGGCTGCAGGGCAGCTTTACCGGTCTGCTCAGCGTTTCCGAACAGATGGGACATTCTGGCTCGTTTTGCGAGGAGTTTGGTGCGATGCGTCCTTCGATGCTCTTGAAGGACTCTCCATCCCTAGACTCGCCAGAAGCGAAAGTCGTGATCTGTTCGCGTATTGTCCGCTCCTCTTCTTTCTGCGCCTGAGTTGTCACATCGTCGGTAGACATGTTTTTAAGCAGCAGAATCGGGTGCAGGACAGCCTGTCGCAGTCGTGTGATCACCGCGAGGATAGCCGTGACATTCTTGGAAACTGTTCCCGACGCACTGTACCCAAGGAACTTTGATCGTGCATTGCGGTAAACTGCATCGTAGACCTGTCCTGACCATTAGGCAACCCACATATTGTCGGATCGAGTCCACTTGCCTTTTGCTCGGCCTCTGAAAGATCAAGGTACTCTATCGTGACATGCTTCGCTGGCAGAGAGACAATTGGTGCACCGTGCTTATCTTTCATGCTCTTCTCTCTTCGTAGCAGGACACTTTCCAGGATATACTGAACGACCTGGATGGCTTTGGGATCTTTCTGCTCGAACGGCAACGTGACAAATGATCGAAAGAACGAGAGATTACCCCATGGCTCGAGCCTAATGAAGCGTAGCAGCGAATAGAGATCTTCAAGTCGGTTCATGATCGGCGTTCCTGTGAGGCACCACCTACGACGAGCCCGCAACGCATAAGCGGCCTTTGCGCTCTGTGTCAGGCGTGATTTGATATTGTGCGCCTCATCGAGGATGACGCGATACCATTCGACTGGAACGGTGTGAGTGGATGAGAACATGGTATACCGCCGGACGAACCACTATATAGGCCCATTTGTGAGACCTTGGGTCGCCGTTTGCTGTGTGTGCGTGCGTTGGCTTCTGCTTCGAGCCGCTCTTTGCAATCGCTGACCATCGTGCCATAAGACGTAATGATGACCTCGATGCCCTCGTCGAGAAGCTCGCCAATGTTGGACCTGCCGACACCGTGATAGACATGAACTCGCATTCTGTCGCGACTGCTTCGCAGAATCTCGTCGCGCCATTGTCCGACCAGCGAGACCGGCGCAACGACTAATGTACCAGTGCAAGGGCCTTTGACGTGCTCAGTGGAGATTCTGTCAAACGCAGTTTTCTTCGCTTTCGTGGGCGAGTGATAGAACTGCTCGTCACTCATTGGATCGTCAGATTCTCCACCGCTGGAGCCCGACGATTCAGCCACGTCGCCCAGGTTGACGTTACGAGCCGGTCTGTTGGCATGTATGAGTGCGGCACACATGATAGTCTTGCCGAGTCCCATCTCGTCTGCCAGAATACCGCCACGGCATTTGCGCGAGGCTTGCGGAAAGTCTAGACTGAGCTCGCCTGAGAAAGGATTGTACCAGAAGGGAACATCTTCAAGTATCTCTTGTTCAAACTCGTCTGGGAAATTGTATTCTTCCCAGAGCGGATGCATAGCCTCGCGCTCACGGGCTTCCTTGACACCGCCCTCCATATTGGACATCCAGTTGAGCGCCTGCTTTTGGTACGACCTCAACTCGAGCGCAAACGTCGTCGGAGGCTCGGCTTCAGGCAAAAAGGCATCATTTTTGGTCGCCTTTCTGTAGACCAGGTTTAGCTGTGCTTCGGACAACTTTTGGCCTTCTTCGTCATCAGAATCTGGGCCAATGTCTTTCGTCGCTTTGGCTTTCCCCTTGTTGGATCGATAGCTTTCGCTGTCAGGCTCAGTCGCGGTACGTTTGCTCCCTATTGCGGTATTTGAGATCGGTCGCAGCGAAACGGCATCAAAGAGCTTGTTGAGGGATGCCTTGCGCTCACGCAAACGGCGTTCCTCTTCTGTCTCTCTCGCGTCTTCTTGGTAAGTTGCTTTACCCTTGATCTGGCTGTCAGGAGGCGCGACAGAGGTGGGTCCAAAGGCAGCAAAGGCGTCACGCTTGATGTACACAGAGAGCGTGAGAATGATGTCGCAGCCTGTCGAAAGTGGAAAGGGGCAGTCTGTCACTTTGCCGGTGATATCGGCAACGACTTCGAGATCGAGAAGCTTAGCGAGCCAATCCGAAGTCTGAGATTGCACGCGTCCGACCTCAAAGCCCTTCTGATTGCGGAAGCGAACGATTGTATTTTCGGCGGCCTTGCTGACCTTTTTTGGATCCTTAGACTTGATCATGGGTCGCTCAAGACTGACAGTCTGGCCAGCTTTGAGGTACTTGCCGCTGATGGTGGCCCAACCCATGACGACAAAGGCTGTACGATCCCTTTCAGTGGGCAAGCTTGGCTTTACGAGCTGCACGACTGACTGCCGATCAACTTTGATGTCCAAGGCAGGTCCTTTGCAGAGCTATGTCTGGTCGCTGCGGTCATGGCCGCAGACTGCCTCGCTCTGTGCCTTGGCTTTTCTGGCGTATCGTCGAGCACGATGACATGCCGGTCCGAAGGAATGCAGCCAGGGTTCGCGGAGACATGCTTTCGCTTGAGCTTGCGAGGAGTGTCTGGAAGCACTATTGCATCCTCTGAAGACAGGCCCAGCTGATTCTGTCGTGGCCTCTTGAGCTCAGGTTTTGCCGATCCGGCGTCATCCTCTGCAGCTCGGTCGATCTGATCGCCAGGCTGACGTCCATCAGCGGTAAAGGTCGATATCGACCCAGCCGGCGGTTCACTTGATGCAGCTCTGAAAAGAGGCGGTGACATGACAGACGAGTCTGATGTCACACCAGGCATGTCACGCTCGCGCGCCAGACAGAGAGAGAGAGACTTCTCTCCTGGAACTGTCCTTCACCAGCGTCGGCAGCCCGTTCCTGCCTCTCATGAGCGACGCCGGCGACTATGACGGCGGCGGCGGGGACGACGACCAGTGTGTTGCAGTTGCCCGTCTCCGCTACGGCAATGCTGATGGCCACGCAGCTTCGACGACGGCGAGGAGCAGGCCTATGTCAGCTCTTTGATTCAGCTCATCAGCGTTCTCTCACTGAAGTTGAGCGAGCGCAGAACCCAGACGATCTGCATGAGGATGGCGAGGGACTCGTAGCAGAGGGCGATGAGGCGACCGGTGTGGTGCCGTCTGGCCAAGTGCCGGACGGAAAATCGATGCCACAGACAGCAAACTCGGAACGGATCACTACGCCTTACATGACAAAGTATGAGAAGGCACGAGTGCTCGGCACGCGGGCTCTCCAGATCAGGTCAGTCTCCTCAAGAGCCTCAGTAGCAGCCTCGCTTAGGCAGCGGAGCAGCATGAACGCCCCCGTTCTCGTGACTCTGGAGAACGAGACTGACCCGCTCGAGATTGCGATGAAGGAGCTAGCGCAAGGCAAGATACCGCTCATCGTCAGGCGGTTCCTTCCAGATGGCAGCTACGAAGATTGGACGTCCGTAGCCAACCTTCTGAGACGCGCGCCTGCGCGCTGACCCCGTCGTGCAGAGTCCAAGAGCTACTCAGAGACTGATCTGTTCCCCAGAGATCGGTGCTGCTCCAAGCGAGCCAGAGGTCTGTGGAAATGGCTGCCCGCATGAGACACGGCTGCTCAGCTTGTTGTACGTTTGCAAACCAGCAAAAGGGCATGTCAACATTGCAGTGCTCAGACACGATCTGCGTGACACTACAGAATCCACGAGCCTGTCCCTGCTGGATTCTTGCCGAGCCGCTGAGCAAGTATGTTGCTTGACATGGAGGAAAATGAGTTGCCGATGAAGACATCTGCCTGTGCTGCGATCTCCATGTCCACCGCAAAGGCGTAATCGTCCCGTTCGAGCTCGTCTACTGGCCTGCTCCATACCACTGCGCTCTCTGAACTTGCAAATTCGAGCGCATAAGGCTCCAGCACGAGCCTGTCGTGCAGCCAGTCAACGATCGCGTCGTCCTCGTCTGAGCCTGCGTTGTGCAAGATGTAGATGCCTCGCAGCCTGCCGCCGGTCCGCCGCTCGTGCTCGCGTAGGGCTACGTCGATGAGATTGAGATACCGCTGTGGCGTTGGGGAGCAGTGTAATAGCCACTCGTCAGTGGTCAAATTGCGCTTTGCAGACGCATAGGGCGGCGGCTTGCGACGGCTGAAGATGGGGTGCGCCGCGACACCAGCAGACCGATACTGTACGCTCGCAAGGTACCGGCAGTGATCTGTGAAATCACCAAGTCGCATGTGCACAGCCATGAAGCCGGTGGATGGTCGTCCAATCACTGCCTGGAGGAATCTCTGCCACGGACTTACTGCCTGACTTGATGCGACTATGCGATGTTCTTGTAGTGTGGTCCGAGCGGTTTGACGAATGACATCAGACCAGACGAAGATCTGGCGTAGGTAGCTAACGTAGGCCGGGATAAGCCTGAGGTAGGCAGCACTTGACCAGAAGCCGAAATCGATGAGCCAGCTGGCGTGGTCGACACAACGGGCCGTGCTCCTTGTCACTAAATACTCCAGTGAAGCGTTCCAGACTCGGGCAGGAGGGACCCTGTACTCTGCTCGAATAGCATCGTCCTGTTCGTGAAGCCACAACAGATGCTCCAGCTCTTCGTCTGTTAGTGGCGTCTGGTCCGCAATCGCTTCTCTGGACCAGTCAACAAAGTCTGTGTCGTTGCTGTGCTCCGACAGTGAAGGGTTGACGGCAACGGCACGCTTACTGCGACGGCGATAGCGTGGCTCGAAATCTAGCTTTGGGTGAATGCGCACCGCCTTGGGGCAAGTTTGAGTGTAGTACTCCTCCGACACGCCGGTTCGCGTCAGGCGAGGCAGGAAAGCGGACAGAGGTATGTGCTCCCAGTGTCTGGCGCGAGCCTTGAGGCCTTTGTAGACGTGTGTTTGATTCGTGAGATGGGCCATCCAGTGATGCATAAGCCTATTGCGTGCTTTCAGCGCTGGCGTCTCAATGGCTCCGTGAGCTGACGTACATTTCTTGCAGCTGATTATTGGCCTGTCCGCCGAGACCCATCGTCCACATCCTGACCAGGGGCATCTCATGACGAGCTCGATCGTACTGAGCCGCTGCGTCGAATTCGTAAAGCCGCAGCTTCTGGTAGTGAGACAGCTCTGGATCTTCAGACAGCACCGGATCCTCTTCTGAGCCGGGGATGAAGGCAGGAAGCAGCCGCTGGGCCACAGAGCCTTCTCTGTTGGCGTGCCATGCCTGATGCAACCCCACAAGCCAGACAAGCTGGACACAGAGTAAGACAGCGAGCAAGCCGACACCGAACTTGATCCTTCTGCTCTGTCTGATCCATGTTTGGCGACTGCCACACATGCTAGACACACTTGCTTGACTACCGGTGAAAGGCCATCCCTTAGACTCGCGCACAGACACTAACTACCGTCTCGGCCTCCGATGCGTGCAGCTGGATCTGATCCTTCGTGAGGGAGAGGGACAAGAGATTCTTGACAACGAGGAGCTTAAAAACACCTGACTTTGACAATTAGGTCACCGTCGTCATGCATCATGACTCGGACGAAATCTATAATGCCAAGCATTTTTTCGTGACAAATTGATCGCGACGACGTCCTTGAAATGATCATGATCGACATGTGTACAACAGCTAAAAACAGATGTCGCGACCTGGTCTAACTTCGCTTCTGCTCGCCCTCGGTGACGCTGACCGCTCCAATGAATCGTTTGTAATCGAAATGACCTGAGCGATTAGCAAAGGGCGGCGTGAGCAGCCTGTCCACCTGGAGTACTCTCATATCAGCTCTGTCTGGCGTGCACATTTGGACACGGATTCGCGCCTCTTCGGGAGTCATACGATCGCCGTATTCGGTCAGCCAGGTCTTGAGCTCGCTGGAGGGGGCAAGACCTTGATCAGTCTCGTCGAAGCAGGCGAATGCTTCAAGCATGTCCTCAGCAGGATCCAGCTTGAGCAGCCGGTCGGCCATCATGCTCAAGAAGAGTGTGAAATTGATTGCGCCAGGTGATGAGGTCTTGCTTGTGAGGCTCGTCAGTTGTTCAGCCGAGACTGGCCTGCCTGTGATCGTGTCTGCAAATGAGTGTGCGCTCCTCGCAGCTCGCCTGTGGCGTACCCAGGCTGGCATACATTGCCTTCAGATCCTTCTCGGTGATGATACCGTCTCCGTCTTGGTCGATCACCTGCTTGCGCAAGGGATGTTATGGCACGCGAACCGGGCGCTGAACAGCTTTGTCTGCGTACCGTGAAGGCCTCCTTGAATTGCTGGATGGTGGGTTCGTCAAACATGCTGTAGATATTAGCAGACGCCTGTCGTGGCTCGACTCTGCTCAGCTGACGCCTCTACGATCAGACTGGCTCCGCTTGCCTGCCTTGGTTGGGGACGCCCTGCAAGCGTCGTCGGTCGCCCGTGCGAGAGTTTCGAAGCCATAGCGAGCGATCCGCTCTGTATGGAACCAACTGATCACTTGCTGAGTGCTAGGATCGAGCGGCGCAGACCGGCTCGATAGGAAGTGGCTCGTCCGGGTCGATGACAGGCTGCGAACAGGCGCGACGACGACCGACCGACGTGCGGTTGACGCGCATTGAAATATTGACGCGCGCTCGCTGCTTGGCCAGCGGCTCGACTCCACGCCTCACGACTAGCATGCTGGCATAGATGCAAGACTCGTTCGCAGATGGACGAGCCGATCCCGAGCAAGACGATGGTGACGGCGACGAGAGTGCCGCGCAGCAGAGACCGGGAAGGCTGCGCTCCGCCACGCTTTCGTCACTCTCGTTCGACTTTGCGTCCAACCTGCTTCCACTCCCGCTTTCGGAAGATGAGACGAACAACCGTCGCACAGTGCCAGAGAGACCGCTCGGCTTGGTCAACGGCATCGCGCTCGTCGTCGGTCTTCAGATTGGCTCCGGCATCTTCTCCACGCCCGGTACGATCACTGCAGACACAGGCTCAGTCGGTGCCTCACTCCTCGTCTGGCTCGGCTCCGGTTTGCTCGCATGGACGGGTGCTGCTTCCTTCGCCGAGCTGGGCTCTGCCATCCCGCTCAACGGCGGCGCACAAGCCTATCTCAATTACAGCTTCGGCAGCGTCATGAGCTTTGAATTCAGTTGGACGGCCATCATGGCCCTCAAGCCTGGCTCCGCTGCCATCATTGCCATCATCTTTGGCGAGTACGTTTGCAGGATCATCTTCAACACCGCCGTCACGGTAGAAGGCGACATACTCCAAGACGTGCCAGTCCTCGCCATCAAAGGCGTCGCCATTGCTTCCGTTGCCGGCGTCAGCTTGCTCAATGCTCTGAGCACACACATCGGCACACGAGCTCAGATTGTGCTGACATCCTCAAAACTTCTTGCCCTTGTTGCAATCGCCGTCATGGGCTTTGTGCAGCTGGGCCTCGGCCGACAATCGCCTAGTTTGCAGCAAGACATCTTCCGAGGCTCATCTCACTCTCCGGGCAAGTATGCTCTCGCGCTCTATTCGAGTTTGTGGTCCTATGACGGTTGGGATCAGACGAATTATATCGCTGGAGAGATGGAAGACACCGCCCGTGACCTGCCTCGAGTCATACATATTTCCATGTCGACCGTCATCTCACTGTTCCTAGTCGCCAACATATGTTACTTCATTGTGCTGCCGCAGGATATAGTCGCACATTCCAATACAGTTGCGCTCGATTTCGGCCGCGCGCTTTTCGGGCCCGTCGGCGGCCTAGCTTTTGCGGCCATTGTAGCCGTGTCATGCTTTGGCGCGCTCAACAGCTCGCTTTACACCAGCGCACGACTGATATATGCCGCCGGCAAGGAAGGCTATTTGCCAAAGTATTTTGCTCGCCTGCACCCAAAGAGAGAGACGCCGGTCAACTCGATTATATTACAGTCAGCCTTGACCGTCGTCATGATACTCATAGGTAACTTCAGGTCACTCGTCTCCTTCTACGGAGTCTGCTCCTGGTTCTGGTATCTCGCCACCGTCACAGGCCTCCTCTACCTCCGTGTACGTGAGCCCGAGCTGCAAAGGTATGCAATGCTTCCTCGCTGGCGTCTGCAGACGGTGGCTGACCGACGACAAAGACCTTATCGAACTTGGCTGCCCACGCCCATCATTTTCAGCATTGTTGCCATCTTCCTGATGATCATGCCTTGCTTCAGCGCGCCTCTCGAAGCTTTAGCTGCATTCGGCTTCATCGCGCTGGGTCTGCCCGTTTACTACCTGACAAAGGGCGCCGAGCGGTCGAGCTTTTGTGAGTACTCGAGACTCGACACGTTTGATTTCTTCTTACTACCGGCCGCTGGGACCCAGCGTATTCCTCGCTCGTGACGCCTTTTGCGAGCAAAGCACCGCAAGAAGACACTAGCTTGAGGGATGAGCGATTGGAGATGAGATCCGGTCTCAATGTCGAGCGCATGCCATTGAGCAGGATATCGGAGGCGACAGAGGAATGATCAGTCTGTTGTTTTGACCAAAAGAGATGCTCCAAGAACACAGCGGTCAGACTTCGAAGTTGCTATCTCCCTTTTCGACCTTTGGCTTGCCCATATTCAACTTTGAGCTCTTTTTCGGGGCGTTTGATGCCGGGACGACTGGCCCCTTGCCCACGTTGGCAGCCGCGATGCGAGCTCGTGTGGACAAGATCTTGTCTTGACGTCTCGCCTCTTGCACGCGCAAGATGTTCTTCTGGCCAAGCGGTGGCCTGCGCTCCCATATCTGTCGTTACGCAAGCACCATAAGCGGGGGGATGCAGGAGCAGCTTGAAGCTTACTTGGATATAGGTTTCTCCGAGAAACACTAGTTGTTGATTGATCTCTTCGACTAGTACTGTTGTATGCGGAACGGATTAGCTTCTGATTCGTGCGATGTGTGCAGACTAACGATCTTGAATCTGGAACCAGCGACCCTCGCCACCTTTCGCCGTTTCTGGCTGGGTATGCACGTTGACGGTCCAGGTGGTGTTCTCTCTCGCTGTGCCGGCTGTCGAAGCATGAGTGACATTTGCTACAAGGTCATAGACTGTCGAAAAATCGTCTTGCATTGCTTCCGAGTCGATGTCTGCCTGAAGGGGTAAGCATTGGCTTTGTGCAAGAAGCCCGACTAGCATTCTTCCATGTCCACACCTTTGAGAGGGTAATTGACAATGGTCGGATTCTTTTCTTCTACAAAGTTGTTGCTCGTGAATCGCTTGAAATGCATAATCAGAAACGGTGGCAGTCGATTCAGCTTGTACCGCCGCAACCTTCCAGCAGATTCCTGTGCACGAGATCAGTCGAGAGTCCGCAGCGGGCCTGCACTTGGGACGGACCACAGTCGTATTGCCATCATATTTTGCGAGAATGTCTGCGATTGGCACTTGCGGAATGATATTCTTCTCATTCACTGCATCTTGGAAAAGAGGGGGTGCTGGTAAGTCGATGACAAGGAATAAAAAGGGTGACTTGGTGCCATGGATATCTAGAGGGCCGAAAGATGTGAAATGCTACCTGACGAACAGACTGCGAGCGTACCTCTCGCGAGATCGAATTGCGGCTTTTCGGAACCCTCTTCGGTCATGACGAGCACTGCTTGATCTTCGAGTCTGACCTCGCCTTGGAAGGCTTCGTAGATGATGCTACTGCTTCGTTTACGACTGCCGCCTAGATCTCTATGAAGCGAATTGAGGAGCCAACTGAGGAATTCGAGGGGATCGCCAGGTTCGGTTGTACTGAACTTGCCGCCTGACGCAAGGGTGACTTCCTGGAGAAAGTCGTGGGGCGAGACCTGGGCTTTGAACATCTTTGGGTTCCAGACTTTGCGGCAGAGTGTGCCAAAACGCTGAACGAGCTCGGAACGCTGGTCACGTTCAAAGACAGACGGCCCGGGATCTGTTGAGGGTGGCATAGGCGAGTCTCGTGCGGGTGGGACAGTGGAGATCTGGCCTTGGGCGGCAGGTTGCGAATTGAGGATGAAGTAGTCGCGTAGAGGGACGACGTGCATGAGCGCTTGTAAGACGACATTCATATGAGAATTGGCCTTGATGTTGTTGAGACCGACGAAGCCTGGCAGATAGGCTCGACCGGCAAGGTCATAGGACGGCAAAAGCGCATTGTCGAGTCTGGTCAGGACAGAGGTGGTGAAGACAGGTTGAAGCAAGTAGCGTATATCATTGAGAGACGGATCGTGTACCTGATAGTTGTCCGGTAGAACGTAGACCTATCGGAGCAGTGTGAGCCAATGGACAGGCGCGGAGGAGTAAGGCGACCTACTCTGAGGGAGTCAAGGCTGATATAGACGTGATGGTCCTCGCCGATGCTGTGTGCATAGGCCTGGCTCTTTTCACCACGACCCTGGAAGTATCGTCCGCAGACGAGGCAAGCGTAGACGTTGATGGTGCTCAATGAGACCGAGCAGAGCCGCTCAAAGTCAAAGTCGAGTACGGCGCGGTTGACCTGTATATGGATGAGTGTCTGTCCACGAGGGCGCAAGAGGGACTGACAGTGTCCAGATAGAGGTCCGATGCAGCTCCATTGCTGCGTGACTGCCGCTTGCCGTTGGTCGTCGGTGCAGCAAGGCCCTGACGGTGGGATTGTCTGGCAGCGCTCTCTTCTGCCTCGAGGCGGTCGAGCTCGTCTATACGGGCAGAGATGAGCATGTCTTCTGCCTTGGCGTCATCTTGCTCTCCGTCCGCGCCCCGAGCCAAAGCTGATGGGCTGTCAGCCTCCTGGCCTATGTTTGCCCGCCCGGCACTGCCGTCTTGCTCTTTTTCATCTGCACTTGCTGCATCTTGCATCAGGTCTGCTGCTCTCAGTCGCTTGGCAGGCCGAGGCAGGTCGATCGGAGAGGATGCTTGCCCATTCGTGGCTCGGCTGACCGCTGGAGCGTCCATGGAAGCCGGCCACGAGCTCGACGGCAGGCGTTCGCCTTTTTATTGAGTCATCACGTTACGCGTGCGCGGCGGCGAATCGACCGTTCGACTCGGCTTTCGGAGCACTCAGCAAGGACAGCCATGGTCAGTCGAGGTGCCCCAAAGCGACTCATCGGGAGGCTGATAGACATGTGCTATCGGTAGCTCGTTCGCATTCGCTGTCGAAGAGGCAACTTTCGCTTCCAGATCGAACCAACCGACGACATCTCTGTCCTCTCGGCTCAGGCAAGCTTTGCTGCCTCCTCAACGCGAGTACAAGCTCACTGCGAGGCTTGTCCCAGATCCTGAACGTCTGTCCAGATGCTCAGCCAGAAACGATCGCGCTGAGTACCAAGCCAAGAGGAGATGAGAACTTGCTGTCCACTCTCCAAGGCTCACTCGCTTCACTCGGCATAGGGTCAGTCAGTCAGCTCCGCGCTATGGGGCTCCGCCCTGATGGAGCATTGCACCCACAGCCATGGCGACTTGCTCTTTGTGAGCTACACGGTTCAGGCGGAGAGAGATGATCGATCTGCCCTAATTAGCAATGGCTCCTCGACCACTTTTCACGGAGAGCCCACAAGCACGGCGACTACCATCTCTTCCGTAGTCAAGCCAGATCACACGGCGAGACCCTGGGAGGCTGTCCAAGAGGATCCTGTGGATAGGTTCTGGCAGGCTCGCGATGGCAAGATCAGCCGGCCAAGAGATCAGCGCATGTGCAAACATGGTGACAAGAGCATGTGCGACTACTGCATGCCTCTGGAACCTTACGATGCAAAATTTCACGAGCAGAAGCAGATCAAGCATCTCTCCTTCCAAGCCTATCTCCGCTCACTCGACACCAGTGCAGCCAACAAACAACGGCTCCTGCACTCCTCTTGGATACCGCCCCTTGATGAGCCAGACTACAAGGTCGCCGTGCCCTGCCCATCCGGCTCACATGCCTCGTGGCCAAACGGCATCTGCACAAAGTGTCAGCCTTCAGCTATTACGCTCCAGCTCCAGAACTTCCGCATGGTAGACCACGTCGAATTTGCCTCGCCTCAAATCGTAGAAAACGTTCTGGCCTTCTGGCGCAAGACGACACTCCAGCGGTTTGGCTATCTCATTGGTCACTATGAGCCGTACGACAGCGTACCCATGGGCGTCAAAGCCGTCGTCGAAGCAGTACACGAGCCAGCTCAGGAAGGAGATTCCGATGGCGTGCGATTGGGCATGCCTTGGCAAGATGAGGCTCGTATACAGCGTATCGCCTCGCAGATTCCAACAGGCTCGCCCGATAGCCGGCTCACAATCGTTGGCATGATCTTCACCGACTTGACACCGCCCGACGACGAAGACGCCAAGCGTCAGGCCAAAGTCGTTAGCAAGCGTCACGCGAAATCTTACTTCATGTCCTGTCTTGAGACCATCTTTGCTGCTCAGCAGCAACAGCTCCGTCCAAATCCGTCGAAATACTCTCGCACGGGCAGATACTCGAGCAGATTCGTCACTTGCATCCTGACCGGCAACACGCAGGGCGAGATTGAAGTGACGGCCTATCAAGCAAGCAATCAGGCGGTGGCCATGGTGGATGCAGACATCATCGAGCCCAGTGTAGAACCCGCTGTCGTACGTATCAAGGAAGAAGACGCGCCGTCGTCTGTGATCCCTGGCGCGGAGCAGACCAAAGCAACGCAACCTAATACGAGGCGTTACGTACCAGACGTCTTCTATCGATACAAGAACCGATATGGCATCGACGTCAAAGAGAGCGCCAAGCCCTGCTTTCCGACAGATTACTTACTGGTCTCTGTGCGTAGCCTAGACTTTCTACTTGCTCTCCCGCTTACCTCAAAGATAGCTAACCAACGGCTTTCCCTCTGGAGATGCACGACCGCTATTTCAGATGCCCTTCGGCGGTAGCTTTCCCATTGAGAGCCGACAAGGCCTCGAAGACCAGACCAGTGATTTGCTCTTTGCCCGCCTTGAACCGATACTGGCTGCATTGCCCGAGCGCATCTCATCTCATGGCAAGGGAAAGGCACCAGATGCAGCATCATTACAGCGACTATGCGATTTCCTGCGCGACTGGCACCTGCTATGTTTCATCGATTCCATGAGCATCTTGGACGAGGTTCATAATCCCTTATGCTTCTCCGATATGAACTGACATGCATCGCAGGCTACTTTTGATCTTCTTTGCAAGCTCGCCGGCGTCAGCGATGAGACAAGTCGTCTGCAGTATATACAAGCTCTGCTCGCCTCGGACAGTTGGCAGACACTGTCAGCAATCGCTCGAGAGCACGCAGCTCCTACTTCCGCAAATGCCGTGATGGATGACAGTTTTGCCGAAATACCTGATGTTGGTGTGCCACCGAACGCCTTGCAAGACACCGCTGGCGTTGACGACGTTCCTGGCGTCAAGATATGCCCACACTGCACCTATGAAAACTCAGCAAGTGCGATAGACTGCGAGATATGCTCCCTGCCGCTCGCATAGATCATCGATCGTGCTCAATGTGTATTGCAATGCAGTACTAGTCTGACATGGGTTGATCCAGCGGGTGCAGATAGCACCTATTTGCGTTTGTTCGCGAGATGCTTGCGAACGACGGGACTCGATTGCAGCCAAGCCGGATCAGTACCTTCGGGTAATGCGTGCTGATACGCGTGATCTAGAGGAGCTGTTAGTACCTATTGGAGTATCGAGCACTTGTGCTTACGATGTGTGTCTGTAGGGCACAGACCAAGTGATCGGCTCATCGATGGATGAGCAGGGCTTGAGAAAAGATCGCCGCCGTCTCGATTGAGTGCATGATGATAGCCGAGCGGGCCCGCTGGCGACGACTTTGCTTCCGGATGATAGAAGCCCCGAAATGGCGTTGGTATCGAGGCATGACCAGTTTGAGCGAGATAGAAGGACGGCAGCTTTCTGCCGATCGTTGCTGGGGCTGCCATTGGCAGATGCGGCGTGTTGAGCACGCTATAAGACGAGGATGACGAAGGACCTGGAGGTCGCATGCTGTTGTGACTGCCAAAAGCCGGCGGAGTGGACGAGACTCCCTTCTCAGCTCGATGCATCTCGATGATAGGCGAGGTCAGCAGGGGCGGAAAGGTCATAGCATCATCATCACCCGACAAGTCACCCGCGATTGCGGGCTGGGCTGAGACTGCCCGTCTACGCCTGGATAGCATGCTGGGTCCAGCTAGCATGGCATTGCTGTTGACAGGACTGGTCATTGATTCGCTGTCACTATGACTGCCGCGACTGAACACTTCCGGTGAAGATTGCTCGATACGTAGTGTGGAGGCAGCAAAAGGTACACGCGAATCATACGACATATGTCGCGTTCTCTTGTAAAATGGCTGCTCTTGTGTGTTGACCTGCAAGGTATCGAGGAGCATGCTACGCTTACGCCCTCCAGATGATGGTATGTGCCTCGGGGGTTGGGAAGATCGTGTCTGCTTGGTCATCGATTCTCTGTCCGGATCCTCAAAATCCTCGTCAGACTGTACATTGCCAGGCGCAGGAGACGATGAGGCAGACGTGGCAAGAGCAAGTAGAATCGAGGCTGCTTCGGCAGAGCCAGGCTGGGGCCCGGTGGAAGCTGGTTCAGGTTCCTGGAGCTCGATGTACCTGCGAGGCTCGAGTGCGCTGTCGGAGAGTGCGCGAGTGATTGGCATCGAGCCAAAGACATCCACGTGATTAGTCGGCGGTCCATCAGATCGACTGGATGACATGTAGTCATTCGACTGCCTCACGCTGGGAAGTGGTCGCGAAATTTCTGTGTTGCCGGGACTCTCGCGACGGGATTTGACAGCAGCTTTCTCTCGTTTCGGCGTGCCTCGCGGGACCAGCCCGGCGGCAGCCATGGCTTCCCGATCTTTCGCACGCTGCGCTTCGCGGTTTTTTCGCGCCCAACGTCGCTTAGACTCGAGCGTGCGCTGCCTCCTCTCCTCGTCATCTTTCGGTCTATTAGCATCTGTCAGATTAGACCTGTGTAAGCCAAAGAGGCTCCAATGAAGGGAGACTGAAGCTCACCGTTATCCCAGCGGGTCTTCCGAGGCTGTTGACTGAGCGGAATTTTGTGCTTGTCGTTGAGATGCCGTCGCCAGATGCTACGAGCATGCTTTCCGTTGTACTCCTTGCCGCAATAGCTGCATATGAAGACGCGTTCGTTGGTCTCCGGATCGTAAGGGATAGACCCGTCTGGGCGGGCACCATCTGTATCCTCTTCGTCCGAGTCCTGTATGTTGTTTGGCACGTCATGATAGCGCGCCGGTTTTTCGCGTTCTGAATCTTTCGATCTAGCTCGGACGGCTTTGCGCGTGCCATTTGAAGCTGCCAATGAAGACTGTCGTGAGGCCGGCTGAGAGAGAACATATGCGCGGCTGAGCTGGCTGTCGGACGGAGCTGCCTGATCATACGAACTGCCAGCCGAGAGGCTTTCGTCTCCGTCAAAGGCATACACTACACCCTGAGTGGCAGCTGATGCGCTTGTCCAGCGCACCGGAACTGAGCGCAGATCCTGTGCGCCATTGAGTGGCTGCTGTGGCGAGGCAGCGCTGCCGCGGATGAGCTCGCTTCGCTTGACAGGACTGCCGCCTTGCAGAGGGTCTGAGACGCGATTGAGCGATTCCTTCGAACCACTGGAAGCGAGTGCGCTGATGAGAGCAGGATGTATGAATGCACTCGATTCCGAATCATGCATGCCTTGCGCAGCTTCGCTATTGCCTGCGAGGTCAGGGGCATATGATGTCGGAACGGGCAGCATGTGAGGCGTTGACAGTGCTTGCAACATCGTATCGGGCAAATCCGTGCTAGCGTAGGTGCTCTCATATTCGCTTCGATCGTGCAGCCTGTGCATCGAGTTCTCCGGAGACTTGCCTGGCTGGCGTTCCACGCTGCTGGCGTGCTGCATCGTTGTGTGAGTCCTTGGTGAGGTTACGAGGCCGGCGCCAGGCTTTTGACGCCGCTACCTGACAGGGAGCAGCTCTCGGCTGAGGCAGAGATGCTTCAGTATCTCTGGCGCCGCGTCTGATTGCTGGCCGACTGGACTGCTGCTCGTTGGTCAAACAGACAAAGCTCCCGGATCACGTGGATGCGTCGCGACCACGCGTCCTGATACTTTTGACATGGTTCACGCTGAAGAAACGCCCCTCAAATCTCGAATCTTAGGATGCGCCTTGGGCAGCAATGCACTGACATGAACCCCGATCTGTCGGTGTGCTTCACATCGACTATATCAACGGGACAGCAAGAATGTGGTGCAACAACTGCTTTTGCCTGTTTCCTTTGCGCTCGGGCTCGATCTGCCTCGCCATACTCATCTTGATTGAGGCGGTACTCGGCGCAATCTTTCTGCTCAAGTATGGCGACTTCTACTTTAGCCGATATCCAGAGCCGCTCGTGTTTGCGTGCACATCGTTCGCCAGCGCAGCTATGGCTTCACTAATGACCCTTGGCTTCGCCCAGTCCTCTTGGATGCTGACGCGATTGGCATTCTATCTGTGGCCAGCGTCAATTTTGCTAAGCGCGATACGAGCCATCTTGGTGATCTTCCTGCTCAACAGCAACGTCGCTGTTATCACCTGGGAATGCGTTAACGACGGCGTCCTGTGGCCGAACGCGACAATTTCGTCGAACAGCACCGCAACGATCGCAGTACTCAATATGACAGCCGTCGCGCTTTTGCCGACGACAAAGCTGCCAAGTCAGCTATGTGCATCGCCGCACAAAGTGTACATCGGCATGTTCCTCGGGCTGCTCGCGGATCTTGCGCTCCAAATTTGTAAGATCTTCGGCTCTATCGAGCTATCATTCGTAGTGACAGACGCTCTCAGACGCATACTTTTTGACCTGGCAATTTTTGGGTGACATCAAGCGCTACTTCGCAATCGCTTCGGGCTTCCCAGGAGCTTTTCAGAGCTTCTGATCGTTCGTTCAGCTGTAGAGCGTATGGCATTATTCGGTCTCGCTGTCGATGTCATGATACTTGTTGTCATTGACTGAGGTCTCCTCGCGGTTGGTGTCCTGGCGCTCCCAATTAGCTGCTCGGCGAGCGAGGTCGCGGTTAGCCGATAGGTTGTGCAAGGTAATCATCTGATTGCAGCCAGATGTGGGGCATTCTTTTGGTCGTCCTCGATGATCGCTTTGAGTAAGGTACTCTCGAATGCCCTTCTGATCATAAGAGTGGCCGCACTTGTCTCTGCATTGGCAAAAAATCAGTGTTGCACTCAATACAAAGGCGCAAGACGCACGATGTGACGGGATCGAGTAGGGGTCTCAGCGTTATCGGACAAACAAAGTTTTGCTTGGAAGCGCCCAGCTCGACGTCACTGTCACTGTCGTCTTCGTCGCCAGTCTCTGCAGTAAGGAGCTTCAGTCTGCAATCAAAACGGACCGTGGACAGTCACTGACCGGGCGGGAGATACTGTTTGAGATTAGGCATCGCCTCTTCGTGTAGGCGTTCCTTGGCGTGCCGCGTTAGTACTGGCAATGTGGCGTCGAAGAGAGCGCTTACCCACACATTCTTGCGAAAGTTTTGCCAGTGTTGAGCTTCTAGGTATCTTCGGCGGGGCGTCTTAGCGTCGTATGCGGCCGACGAAATTGAGATCATAGCCTCATACTTCGCCCCGGGTTTGATCTGCATGATCTTTCAGCAGTGGTCTCGCGCCTGGCGCTCTTCGACGAACGACCGGTCGACCACTATCAAGCTCCTGCGACACTGCCTTGACTGCATCCCGTTGGAATCGAAGCTGCATCGTCGCATCGACGAACTTCCTGATCTGCCGATCTGCCCGTTGAATCTCCTGGACCCTTGCTCAGCCGACGGTCTATCACCAGGGTGGTCGTGCAGCCTTACCGCGTCAACTGTGGCTGCAGTAGCCTCTTTGCGCTCTTCGACGTCGCTCGATAAGTCATTCGTGGTCGTCGGCCCGTGGGCTTCGCAGAGGGTCGCAACGGCATCCACGTAGCGTTCCGTGACAGAATTGGCGGTGCTGTCGAGGCGATGATAGGCTGCTATCAATGCTTGTAGCTTGATGCCTGCAACACGCCTGTCCAGAGGTCTGTCCAACCATTCTGGATCGATCTTGCCAGCGATCGCATCCTCATTGATTTCCTCGTCTAGCTCTTGGCCCCGGGATTGCTGGTCATGAGGCAAGGGCCCATCCTGCTCCTCTTCGTCGGGCACGATTCGTCGTCCACTGGTAGTCTTGCGTGCCTTGCTAGCTGATGGCCCCGTCGACGGACCCGCCGCACCAGCTTCTAAGGATTCACTCCGTCTTGTGAGCCGTGGCATTTTTGCTCAGATTTGTGCGCCGTCCGTCCGCCGTGCCAAGTAATAAATCGCGTCGACGCGACGCATCGCACTCCTCGGACGTTGGCCAACATGTAAGTTGGATGAGCGACTGAGAGATCACTACTAGCTCTTACCAAGGCTTACGTAGGTTACAATGATCGTAGAACTTCTCTGGAGACGTGTAAATGATTTCATAGATCAGACAATAAGTGCTATACGCGAGACGCAATACGTCGCGCGATGGGCAACCACAGATTATGCGGTCAGAGAGGTGAGGCCGTTGACAGCGTTGCTGGGCACGGGCTTGCCATTGAGATTGGGTGCGAAGCGGTACGCCTCCGAAGCGGGCTTATATGCGACAGGCTTCTGAGGCTTCTCGCCGATGGCCTTTGCGATGCGATTGCTGAGATCCTGGTCGACGGCGGCAAAGACCGACAGCATGCGCTGGCGGATCTCGGGCTTCTTGGCACCGCTCAAGTGTCCTGAGATATTGTCAACAAAGCGATCCTTGGCGGCGTCATCGAACACGCGCTGCCAGAGATCTCGGGGCTGCTCAAAGTCGAGCTCGGTTACCTCTGACAGATCGGCTGCTGCTGCGCCCAGGAAAACCTCGTGGGTGGTCATGGTGTAAGGCCGCTTGACATAAGAGAGCGTCTGGATCGACGATTGATAGTTTGGTCGAGAGCCCTGGTTGTAAAAGGCAGCAGCGCCATCGCGTTGGAAATTTGCGACTTCGCTGACTGGTCGGTTCACCGGCAATTGCTGGTAGTTGACACCAAGTCTGTATCTGTGCGTGTCGGGGTAGGAGAACAGACGAGATTGCAGGACTGGATCGGCGCTCGGCTCAATGCCGGGGATGAGATGACTGGGCGCAAAAGCGACTGACTCAACCTCTTGGAAGTACTGTGGGAGATTGTCAGATCGTGAACCTGGAATATAATGGAGGATGGCGTACGTTTTGGATGTTCTCATTCAGAGTCATCTTGCCTACTTTGCGAAGAGGGTACTCCTTGTGTGACCAAGTCTTGGTCAAGTCGAGGATGTTGTAGCGGAACTTCTCGGCTTGATCGGGTGTCATTGTCTGAACGTACATGGTCCAGGATGGGAAATGGCCGTTCTCAATGGCCTCGAATAGATCCTGGCCGGCATAATCGGGATTGGCGCCGGCAAGCTCGACAGCCTTGGCTTGTGTGAGGAACTTGACACCCTGATCTGAGCGCAAGTGGATTTGCGTGTAGACGAAATCGCCATTTTTATTGACGAACTTGTGAGTATGGCCCGAGTAGCCGTGCATGAAGCGATAGCCGTCGGGCACGCCACGGTCACCAAAGAGGATCATCACCTGATGAATAGCCTCTGGATTTTGTGACAGGTAGTCGTGGAACATATCAGCATCCTTCAAGTGAGACTGCGGGTCTCGCTTTTGGGCTGGATAGGCAAGTTGTGAGATGAGGGCTGTGTGTGTATATACGCGAGGACTTACTGTGGATGAAGTGGGGGAACTTGGCTGGATCACGCAGGAAGAAGATAGGGGTGTTGTTGTAGACGAGGTCCCAGTTGCCTTCCTCTGTTCTGATCTTGACGGAGAAGCCTCGTGGGTCACGCGCAGTGTCTGCTGAACCGGATTCGCCACCGACAGTCGAGAATCGAGCGGTGATCTTGGCGGTGTTGCCTACTTTGGAGAACAGCTTGGCCATGCAGATGTCGGTGATGTCATCAGTGACCTCGAAGGTACCGTGGGCGCCGTGACCCTTGGCATGTACTACACGCTCCGGGATCCTCTCGCGGTCAAAGTGCGCAAGCAGATCTGTGATCAGAAGATGGTTGAGCATGCCTAATTGAAAGCCATGGCAGACTAGACCGACCGATGTGGTGGAAATCCTGAAGGAGCAGAGGTCCATTGCGTCCGACACGCTGGGCCTCGTATGGCTCCGGATAGGGTGCTCCGTTCTGCGTGTGGCAGATAACAGGACACGGGCAGCGATTGGAAGACAGGTAGGTGATACGCCGTGGTCGTGTGGCAAAGGCATTGATAGCCCAGAGAGGAAGAAGCGATCGTATGCGTCGAGCCGGGCGTAAAGAAGGGCAATTCGATGGTTCGATGAGGAGACATTGGCATGAAATGAAAAGAGAAACAAGGCAAGTCAGCGATGTGGCACACAGAGCAAGCGCCCGGTAGCAGTGGGCGATTATGCCCGCTGGACCGAGTGGCAAAGAGTTCGACTTACCGAGGTAGTATAGATAGCTCCATCGGGCTTGTTGAAGACTTGCTGAGACGGCATAGTGGTGTAAAGTATATGTTCCTAGTAGTCCTCTGCTCCGTTCGGATGTGGAGAGCAATGAGGATGGTGTCGCGAATATAAGCTCGAGCCATCTGACGACTTTGATTGGCCAACCGATCGACAGGGTCATCGATGATGCCGATGACCCGCGGAAGCAAGTCCGATCACTATGGCCGAAGCAACGACAAGGCGAGCCGGCAAGCTACGCACGAGACGAATCGCTCTGGCTGTGAGACAGTGCTCTCACAGACCGGCGTGGACACTTTGGCACCGCTGTCATACTGCTCGCAGTCTTATGGTGCTTGTGATCGGCTGAAGCGCGGGGCACTGCACCCGGTCATCAGAAAGAGCTTTCACTGCTGATGCAATCGCTCGACAAGTGACCGATAGCATCTGGGTCAACGAGCTCAGCAAAGGCAGCAGCTTGTAAATCGCGCCCGTCTACGGTATCCGCTAAGCTGCCCTATAGCTTTTTGCAGCACTCGCCGGCGTTTGCGCGGGCTGTGCACGTTCGGTCCTGCTCAGTCAGCCGCACCGTACATCCACGATCCAGCGGCAGTATGCAGCGCGGCTCTCGCCAGCAAAGGTCGTCCATCGATAAACGCGAGAACATCCTGTCCGCCTTCGCGCTGAATTTGCGAGAGGGCGTATCGCTCACGCTATCTGCACTTGCCCTCCCACTTCGTTCACCGCCTGTACATATTGGCAAGATGCCCTACAACAGCTCTGCAAACGTCAGCGAGCCTCGCAAGGTCTTTGCAACGCTCTTGACGAAACGTAGCTATCTGGCCGGCCTTTTCGTCTTGTTGCATAGCATGCACACAGTCGGCACACGCTACCCACTCCTCGTCATGATCACTCGCGATTTTGAGCAGGACATCGAAGCCAACGCCTTTCTGAGTTGGCTCGCAGCCACATACTCTGCCAGTGTGCTCGTTCGCTGCGTCGACCGACTGGATCCTCCTGCCAGACTGGATGGTGCAGCTCCTTCACAGTTTGCTGCTGGTGCGCGCTTTGACGACACATGGACGAAGCTGGCAGCCTTTCGGTTCACAGAGTATGAGGTATGTTTCAGCATCCGCGTATAGCAAGATCCTTTACACACGCACTAACAGAGGGTCATTCTGCTCGATATCGACATGCTACTCAATCGCAATATTGACGATCTCATGGGGATGCAACTCCCCGCCGACCACATTGCAGCCACGCATGCATGCACTTGCAATCCAAGAGAGATATCTACATACCCTGAAGATTGGTCAGACATCACAGAACAGACCTGCGCGTCTTTGCTTACGCTAGCTGACAGGATACCCCAAAATTGCGCATATATGTGCACACAGGCAGCACAGCCACCTCAGATACTGCCAGATTCGCCAGAGACGCATCATTTGCTGAATTCCGGCCTCGTGATCCTTCAGCCATCCTTGTCGGCTTATGAGGATCTCCTGACGGCGCTCAAAACCTCGCAACTCGTGCATTCCTTTAGATTTCCAGATCAAGAACTGCTTGCGCTCGTTTATCGCAACCGCTGGCAGCCCCTCAGCTACCGTTACAACGCATTGAAGACTCTGCGCACGTGTCATGAAGAGCTGTGGCAAGATGAGGAAGTTTGCAATATTCACTACATCCTGGACAAGCCCTGGACGGCCAGGCCCAGGCCCGGCGATAGAGATGAGTACCTTAATGCGATATGGTGGCATCATTGGGACGCGCTGGTCGAACGACATCGCAGTCAGCTTGTGCCAGGCTGGCAAGTTGCTTGCGCGTCAGCAGCGCAAGCGACAGAGGCGCAAGACATCAAGCATCAAGAGAGCACAGAGGCAATCACTGCCCAATAGACAATTGTTGTTTTATCTTTACATGCACATCACGCACGCCAATTGACAAGTACCTGATCTGTCCTGAAGCGCTGCGTGATCGTTGAGTGTTCCAGTCTGGTAGCGAAGCCCATGCGATGACTGAGCAGGCCAGCGTGCGCAATCATGATGCCATTGTCTATGCAGAATCTGGAGGCCTGTCTGTAAGTACGCATGCCGATGATAAACAAGGCGAGATGCAAACTTTTCGTCCGTCGCGAACACACTGCCACCCCGCTCAGAGGCCATGATGCCCATCATCTGTTGTAACCTCTCATTGCCTGCCAGCTGTACATCAGCAGATGGCTCTCTGAGTGATTTGCAGACTACGCTCACAGCCTACTCCACCGACGATAAGGACTTCTCGACTGCCTATATGAGCCATCGCGCGTTCTGTAATTTCGACGAGCATAGCAAAGATAGTCTCTTGCAGCGAGAAACAGAGGTCCTCGGTCGTGAAACCGTCGTCAGTCTCACTATCCTGAGCATCACAATCGTCCTTTGGGTCGTCCTGGGCGAGGTGGAGATCGTCAAGGGAGGCGGGATCAGATGCCAGAGCTGATTGCTTGAAGCGAGGATGGCGCGTCCAGGCTGCCGCACTAGCAAGTATGCCACCCAGCATGACATCCATGCCCTTGGTTGCGTATGGCATCGCCAGAAGCTTCGATCCTCTGGGGGTGGCATCAGCAAAGGTCCAGGAAGCCGCGGAACCGACTTGCTTTCGGGCCGCGAGCTCGATATTGTAACCAGGACTTGGATCGTTTGGGAGACCGACGATGCGCGCGAAGCGATCCAGGCAGTTGCCAACGGCAATGTCGAGCGTCTCGCCGAAAATACGGTAGCGCTGATGCGAGTAGGCGATGATCTGAGTGTTGCCACCAGACACGTACAAAACCACCGGATTGAGGGCGGAGGTGATCGTGCGACCCATCTCAATATCTTTTGAGGCGGATTGATCAGCAGGTGTCTGTCAGCGAGCGCATCCACGCACGACCGACGCAGTGATTGACGCCTATGAGCGGCTTTCCGTACATCGTCGCAAGAATGCGCGCGACAAAGGCGACCGTCTGCAGAGGAGCGCCCATGCCTGGCCCTGTACAGGTGCTGAGAAAGGAGGGCCTTGATCATGCAGAGGGCTTACCCTTTGTGAAGCAAACGCAATCGACCTGGCTCATGTCCAGCTTGGCCGCGAGAAGTGCTTTCTTGGTCACTCGCATGATCCATTGTCGGTGATGTCGAGCGGTATCTCCCGGCTGGAAGCCCGTTCCGGGAGGTGTGATGTATGTATGGCGCACGTTTGAGAGTACCTGGACTTGGGCGTTGGAAGATTTGCAAGCATAAGTGGCCGGTGAAGCTGGTGAGGAGCGCTCGAGGGTAGTCTCGACAGGTGAATGTCGGATGACGCCGATGCCGAGCTTGTTGGCCGATCCTTCCAGTCCGAGTGCTATATAAGCTCGTTCTGGGGCCGCCAATGGATTCTGCAACCGGGTCGCTGCCACCATCTTGGCTGCAGCGTTCGCAGGGCCCGCTGCCGACGCTGCTCGGACGGTCCACGCGCGCTTGGCTTGACAGCTCTCAGTGCAGTACCCATCGATCAAGCCGGTTAAGATCGACCTCGAGCCAGTCTGCGACTGCGCCGGGCTGACTGAGCCGTGCATCACGGACACCTGAGCAGAGGTCGTCCGCCATGTCGGGCCTGCAGATGCCACGACAATCGTCGGCATCATCGACAGCGTCGTCGAGCAGCAACAAGGCCTTGGCAGCTAGTCCCGAGCTCAGGAATGCAGGCTTGTTCGCTCCCATCGGGCCGAAAGCGGCGAAGAAGGAGGCCGTGCCTGCTGCATTGAGTCCTCGTCTACGAGAGCAAGTGCTGCCAAACGTAACGTCGGATGTTCAGCCCGCTGCCTCTCAGCCTGCTGCTATCACGCCCACTCCATCTGAGGCGATCTTGCCGAAGGACACTTTCAAAGGTGTGCAGCAGTGCTAGGTGGTGTCTCTGGATCTCAACAGCAGCCCTGCACAGTCGTCGTGAGGTTCAAGGCGACAGGCAATGCGCCGATCATGAAGCAGAATTGTCAGTACCGAATTCGCCATCGGCATCAGCGACGGTTGACGAGGATAACCTATGGCGAACAGTCTTCAAGATCACAGCCAGCAACCGCTTCCAGACTGTCATCAATTTCCTGCGCAAGGAGCTCAGTTGGAAAGCACAGGATGCGCTGGTAGGCTGGCCCCCAGTGCATGTGCTTCCACGCTGAAAGTAGGCCTCACATGTTCAGTTTCTCTACATCAATGCTTCCTTCAGCCCAAGTCCTGACGATACCGTGATCAGTCTCTATCAGGTAAACCCTGTCGTTCGTGCCGCAGAGATCATCAACATTGAATGAGATTGACAGTGCTTTGCGACCGACAAACAGCTCATTGTCAACTACAGGTCAGCCTCATCTGTGGTCTCAGCTTCATCGTTGACAGGACAAGCAGTACTACCGCAGCATGGGGATGAATATGTACAAGCAAACGTCAGCCCTGTGAGCGTCTGGCCTACCTAGCGATGCCTGCAGATCCACGGCGTCGCAGATTGACACGCCAGAAGAGTTAGCCTCTTGTCTTGCTGCTGCAAAGCCCACTCGATCATCTGTTGGGTCACGGTTCTCAGCAAAATGCATCGCGCACAGAGAATCTTCTCGCGGGAAAGTAGCAAAACTTTTTACAGCCAACTCCGTTTCGGCTTAAATCAGATTTAAATAGTGAAGCGAGCCGGGCGTGGCCACTCACAGCTCGAGACAGAAGAGAGTGAAGAAGCAAAGCGATATAGAGGTGAGCTTGCATGATCCTCAGCAGATCGGTGAGTAGGTGCTGACGTCCGATATCTTTGCTCGCCTCTCCATCACCGATCTTGACTCGCCTCATCGGACCTTGATCTGACACCCAACCAATCTACCCATCGACGCTAGACCTACCCTAAGTCAGACACAAACATGCAAATCTTCGTCAAGACATTGACTGGCAAGACCATCACCCTCGGTGAGCTTACAGCCGAGCGCTTTGGCCGAGCATCGTCGCTGACTCGTCGCTGCTCGCTTAGAGGTCGAATCATCTGATACGATTGACAACGTCAAGGCAAAGATCCAGGATAAGGAGGGCATCCCACCTGACCAACAGCGCCTCATCTTTGCCGGCAAGCAACTCGAGGATGGCCGGACT